CTCTAGTTGTGACGGCGATGCACTCACTGTTTGCAGCCTCCTCAGGCCTCTGACACAGCGACAGCCCTGGCAGCTGCTGGCCAGTCCCCGGTCTGGCCCTGAGGGCTGTGCAAGGATGCTCCTTTTTTACACGGAGAATTCCAGACCGCCACAGACAGTGTCACCCTGTGAAAGTGCTGGAGAAGGGCAAAGCCAAGGGCACCCGGGGACAAAACGAGAACACTGTGAGCACAGCCCGAAAGACCAAACGCCCTCCTCTCCTGCCATCTCGGTGACAGTGCCTCCTTCCCAGGTACATCAGCCTCACCGGGTTCCAGCCATCTCCTGGTGAAACGCGCCAGGAAACGCGATTACAGCAGGACCCCACCTGCCGTCCTGACACCACCCAACCAGCAGGAAATCCTTGCTTCCTCCAGCCTCACACAAGCCCAGAGGCGCTAAGATGCCTGCCTCACGCCCTTTGAAGGGGAGGGCTCACGGTCCTGGTGCTGTGTGAGTGCCCTTGTCACAGCTTTTGAAATCACAGGTGGGTTCCTGGTGGTCTTTAGACACCTGACATTAAGACCTCTGAGCGTCTTTTTTCTCTCACTTTCTACTCTATTCTTTTGCAATAGACCTATGTTATTAGACACAGCCAAACTCAAACACACATTCCCGAATAATTAAAGCACACAAACACTAATGATTTATCAATATGGTCACATTCATGGGTAGAAAGTTCGTTTAGAGTACGCTCTTAGTATCCCTTTTCTGTATTTGAAAGATCAGTGGTGATATCCTTATTTTCATCCCCTATATTTATAAATTTGTTCTTTTCTCTTTGTTAATCTTTCAGGGTTTATTAACTCTGTTAATCTTTTTAAAGAAACAAGCTTTGTCTTTAACATCTTCTTTTGGATGACTGCTTTTATTTCATTAGCTGAGCCTAATGTGGAGAGAGAAAGCTGTAGCTGATGAAAAAAGATATTAGATTATTTTCTCTATTGAGATGTCTGCTCTTATCTTTGATATGACTTTACCTCTCCTCTCTCTGGTTTTATGTTGTTGTTCTTGTATTTTTTTCCCATTTTGTTTTTCCTGATGGAATCTTAGATCGCTAATTTTAAACCCTGTGTCCCCTGTGGTAGGCTGAATAATGTCCCCTAAGATATCCGGGTCCTAAATCATGGACCTGAGTATATTTCATATGCAGAAAGGACTGCAAATGTGATGGCATGAAGGACTTCAAGATGGGAAGAGGACCTTGAGTTATCCAGGTGAGTCCAATAATGGAATCGCAAGGGTCCTTATAAGAGGGGGCAGGGGAGTCATGAGAGAGAGAGAGGACATCATTATGACAGGGGCCGGATGGCATTTCTGGCTTTAAAGGGGGAGGAACAGCTAGGAACCAGGGGCCGCAGGGGTCACAGCTCTAGTGACTGGCAAACGAGGGAATGAAGGCTCCCTGTAAGCCCAACGGAGTGCAGCCCTGGGTGTGGGGACTTCTGTGCATGAGAATGATTCTGGACTTCTGACCTGCAGAACTGTAAGAAAATGTGTGTTGTTTTAAGTCACCAAGTTTGTGGTCATTTGTTACAGGAGCCACAGGAAGCCAATGAACTCATCTCACAGAAGCCTAAAAAGCTTTCAATTTCCCTTGATAGAATGATTAAGGCTTAGATGCAAGTTTTCATTTTCATCTCCTTCAAAAAAATTTTTTGATTTACTTTGTGATTTGTTTTTACTTAACTCCTGTGTTTTTAAAATTGTGTGGTGTAGTTTCCATACACTTAGGGGTTTCTAGGCACCTTTTAGACGCTGATGCATCAAATGCTGGTGTGGCAGAGAACGTAGTCTGTATTCCAGTGGGTTTTGAAATGTATTGAGATTAATTTTATGGTTCAGCATATGCTTTCATTTGGTGAAAGTTCTTTGTATACTTAAGCTAAATGTGTTTTCTCTTTGTGTTCCGTGTCTAGTTAAGTTGGTAAATGGTGTTTTTCAAATATCCCATATCCTTAGATTTGTTTATGTCTATAAATTATTATCAGAGGAATGTTAACATAACTGGTTATAGGTCTATGTCTCCCTTAATTCTGTTTATTTTTATTTTGAACCTATTACTTGCCTAAATATATAGTTTTTCTTAATTTCTAAGTAGCTGAACATATTTTTTCATTCTGAAATGACCCTTATTTCTAATAATTCTCATGGTCTTGAAGTATATTTTGAGGTAGTAAGAAATGAAAAGGTTTTCTTACAATTAGTGTTTGCATGGTATTACTTTCGTTTTCAATCTTGAGTGCCCTACATGTCTTCTAATCATTTTCATGTCTAATTCATAATACACTTCTAAAATATAGAAGTAACTCATTAATGAATAAAAAAAAATGAGGGTGCTTTCCTACATTTTTGGAGCTGATCACTATTTCTCTCCAGTATGGGATTTAAACCCTAACGCCACTGACTGTAACAGAGGATGAAGACCCACCACAGAGAATCCAAAATTATTAAAACAATTAGTATATATTTTTATGGCATTACCTGCACAGAGAGTTCATTAGAGAGGGTTTAAAACACTGATCAGGTCATTTTTTCCTAAACAAAATCAATGTAAGATCATCATTACTCTTGAGCACAATTGTGGGAGCATAAAGGTGACTCATCGATTTGAGAATTGTTTGGAATTCATCATTTTTTGTTACTAAATAAAGAGGTAATGCAACTTAATTTCTTATAACAAATACAGCCTGCATCTCAACAACGCAGAGTTCCATAAACACATATAAATAATAAATGCAACTGACAAACACGTGAATGATATAGTAATTCAGAAATACATTGGCCCATATATTTTCCTGAGCTCCTAAGGCTTTTTACTACAATGCAGGTGCAGCTGGAAGAAGGTTCCCTCACTTGTGGAAAGGCAGTACGTCTGGCTGCGTGGGGTCGTGTGGCAGATGACAAACCCTTCTCCTCGGGTCAGTGGGTTGACCTTGAGGCTCTGCTCAGGCAGTGGTTGTCCACTGTCCTCTCTGTGTGCCAACTACCCCACCTGCCCTTCTCTGCCAGGTTTTTCTCACTCAGCAGTTCCAGTCCTATCTGTCATCCCTGATAATCAATCTGTTTCTTTCAAGTGTATTCTGTATTTACTAGGATACTCTTTGCTTACTAGGTATTTCACTGCCTTATTATTTTGATTGTTGATGATTTTGTTAGTGTTCTGGTTACAAGGTTTCATAGGCCCCCAATCCATTTCCACAGAAAGACTTTTTCCAAAAAAGTTTTTAGATAATTTTAGAGCAGAAACCCCTGTACTCCTAGGATTTTAATGGGTCTGATTTAAAAATTCACATCATTTGACCTTCTGACATAATCACAAATATGTCATTAACTTTTAAAATACTTTAACTTATTTTTAGGAGCTATACTTTATTTATACATTCATCTCTAACCTGATTCTTCATTAACAACAAAAAATAAAACTGGAAATACATTGAATTTACATAAACTCACCAAAGTGACACCTACTTGGACTAATCTGCAGCTTTTAAATAAATTAATCACACCTAAAAGGGATTTAGAACTATAGGGTTTAAAAGCCCTGGAAATTTGATTACCTTCATTTATTTTTTTAATAATTGTTGTAAACAGTTGATCCATCACTTGTAATCATCAAGGAATTCTATTATACTTTTAAAGTGTTCATTTTAACATAGTAAGAAAAACTCAGATCATGCTAGAGGGGTCTGTGAAAAACTAGTTGAAAAGACAATACATCACCCTTTCACCAAGTCAATAGAACTTTAAAAATCCTTAAAATCCTTGTGGTCCTTTAAAAATCAGCCCAGCTGGTGATGAGGGAAAAGTGAATATTGAATTTTTGAGTAATAAAAGAAAAAAGATAATGTAATTGCTTTTCAGTAAAGCTTTCAAAGAAAATAAAGCAAAACAACAGCACAGAAAGTGCTGCGCCACAGAAAATGACTCACCGGCTCAAGACCCATCTCAAGTTCGTAATAGATTTTGTTTCCCTGTTTTTGCAGCAATACATTTATTTTATGCCCAATTTAGAGCAAAGTCAACCACAGGATCCCTTATAAATGTAGGCGGGGGCTCCTTTTTATCGCCTGAGCTACCCCGTGTGACGTTAGGACGCCCGGGGACCTGACGCCACGTGAGGTGAAGTGTGAGCAGCGTTTCCTACCGCCCGGCCAAGAACGCGTCACTGCGCAGCGCATAGCTCAGTCTGTTCAGGTGCTACACGGCCGTTTCAGTTGACTTGCTTCCAAATACTTAGGTTAGATACACTCCCTTTTTTGTGTTTATCTGTAAATTCTCTACCATGGAGCCAGCGGTGGGACCATCATGGAAGCTGGCCACATCAGGCCACCTTCCCTCCCTACAGGTGCATCCCACAATGCACCAGCTTTCGAAGAAAAAGAATCTACACATCAATTAGTCCACAAACCAGGCAATCCAATATGGGACCTGAGTGGTTTTTAAAACAACCTGTTAAGGGAAAAAAAAATTCCCTTGAGCCCCACAACAGCGAACTGTAATAGGGAAGACGTGCTGTTTTAATGTGAGGGGGCTGGTTTAGTTACCAGTGGCACCCACAAATCCACGTAGTGGCTGAGAAGCGCAAAGTCCGGAGGAGGCCCCCACCTGCAGCTGCTCAAAAGTCAATCCTCCTGTCATCCTACAGTTATCTGTACGCACGGCCCCGCCCTCCTTTTCCCCCTCAGCCACATTGGAACTGGGGCTTTACTTTCCATCACATTGATTTAGCACTGCTTTTGAGGCTGTAGGTCTTGGGAACAGAGCTAGGTCTTAGGAATGGAAGCCATAAAACGGAATTGAACTAATATGACCTTACACGTTGGTTAGAATGTGCATTCTTAATGAATTTAACAGCAAGTCTAGATGTCTGTGTCTATATAGTTCAATGGTGTCGGTTACAATTTATAAGCTTTGAAAACAATCTCCGTCTTAGTGCACAAACACTACATGCGACCTACCGTCACACTCTGAAGTCCGACAGCTGTGTGTCGTCACAGCCAACTGGAGGTGACGCCGCTCTGCAAGGACAAGAGCAGGTTACTGTGGTGTGAACGTGACAAGCTCCGGGTTGGGCACAGGAATTATAACAACCTGAGGGAAGCAAAGGAAAAAATAAACATGTGGGATTGCATCAAACTAGGGAGTTTTTTCACAACAAAGGAAACCATCAATGAAACAAAAAGGCAACCTACTGAAAGGGAGAGGATATTTGTCAACAATACATCTGATAAGGGGCTGATATCCAACATTTATTAAAAATACTCATACAACTCAACACCAAAAAACCAAACAACCCAATTAAAAAATGGGCAGAGGACATGAAGGGACATTTCTCCAAAGAGGACACACAGATGGCCAACAGTCATATGAAAAGATGCTCAAGGTCACTAATCATCAGAGAAATGCAAATAGAAACCACAATGAGCTACCACCTCACACCTGTCAGAATGGCCATCATCAATAAATCAACAAACAACAAGTGCTGGCGAGGCTGTGGAGAAAAGGGAACGCTGGTGCACTGTTGGTGGGATTGCAAATTAGTGCAACCACTGTGGAAATCAGTATGGAGGGTCCTCAAAAAATTGAAAATGGAACTACCTTATGACCCAGCTATTCCACTCCTGGGTATCTATCCAAAGAAATCCAAACACTAATTTGAAAAAATATATGCACCCCTATGTTTATTGCAGTGCTATTCACAATAGCCAAGATATGTTTAGATCATCTTCTAGTTTAGCAATAATTACAATGGGGAAACATTTTTCAATGCGAGTTTTAGTGAAAGAAAGCACTCAGAAGTCAATGAGAAATCGATACAAATTTGAACATTCCTCTTACAGAACTAATTGTTTTCAGTTCAGGTGTAATCATCAAATCATTTATTTGTATATTTCTCCCCACCATCTTTTTGATTGTTACCATAGCATTTATTTTATACAAGGCATTGTCCAGGTGCTCCATGAATGGCATTAAGTGTCTAGCCTTCTTTTCTCTTTTGCTTTAGTAGCTACGTATGTGCTAAAATAGCACTGCTGTATTATGGTCTTTCTTTGGGGGTTGTGATTGTTATTTTTAAATAGCTCAAATGGGCAGAAAATACTGGCTGTTTTAGAATTGGGGTATAAAATTGCTATAATGGCTTTGCCTGTAAGCCTGACTAATTTGAGTTGGGGGTGGAGGATGGGGAATTGGCTCTATTACAAATTTAAATATTGTTTGATTGAAGTGAAGTATATGCATGCTTCTAGTTAAACTTGAATGATTCATGTACTTGTGTGAGACCAGTATCTTATCTATTTACGAAATGCTTTTCTAGGCATTTATGATGTTCTTTTAAAGATTGCTGCAATTGCTTTAGATAGCAAAAACTAATGAAACATAAAATTAAAAATGTTGGTCAAACCAACAAAGAGATCTAGGTAACACTTGTAATTAGACTGCTTAAATAAGTATTTAATTTTTATGTATACATAATCGTTAGTTATTTTAAAGATGTTTGATTGCTCTAAGAGAATTGATTGATATTTCCCCTCTCTAGGAGAAAGACGGTGTTAAAATACAGTTTTCAATTAGTTTTCTTTAGTCATTGACTGTATCAGATCTTTAAATATAAACAAGTGTATTAATATAACATTATTTTACAATATAATTATAAATTGTAATCCAATGATGTTGATCTGATTTTAGCATTGTCCACACTGATGGTATAAAACAAGGGCAGACACATATCTTATGTAAAGGACCAAGTGATAAATATTTTCAGCTTTGCAAGCCATAAGTCTGTCGCAACTACTCAAGTCTGTTTTTAGCAGAAAATCAGTCACAGACAATATTTAAATAAGTGGGATTGGCTGTGTTCCAATAAAACTTTACTTGCAAAAGACTAGAGTCAGCTTGGCTGCACTTTGTTGACCCCTGGTACAGAAAATTGTATTAAAATTGGCATTAATGAGAATGTAATTTAGTGTCTAGCATATTGCCTTTTCCACAGGATGTTCTAAATTTTGTATTGAATAAATTAATAAAAATAAGTGTATCTCTATCTAAAAATGAGTTCAGATGAGTTCAAACCAAACATTGCTTTAGAAATAAATACTAAAGTCTTTAAAAAAAAAAACTTCTGTGATTGAAAGGTCAAAATCAAAGTTGAAAAATATCAGAAAACAAAATAATGCCAAAGATATTGCAAGTCACCTAGTCGCTCAGGGTTTAGATTCTGAATCTACTCTCTTGAGTCTTGATCTTGTAACTACAGCTGAAATAAATATTTCACAGAGATAAATATTATAAATATTTGAGATTTTAAAAGATAAAGATGTTTTATTTTTGCCTCTCATAAGGTAGCAGTACTTTTTATTTTTTCTTTAACTAGCCTGGCAGTTAGGCAATGCTTAATAAATTTATTCATAAAATAATGAGTAAATATTGGTTTTTCAGACAAACTTAGATATTTTTGAATGTATCATTACTGACCAAAGTTTTAGGTAGCTAAGAAAGTTATGAGCACTCTATCATTGAGAAAATGCATTTTTGCCTCCCATTGTAAATAATCAACATATTTATCAAATATTAACTGGATACCAATTATGGCTCGGAACCTGATATGTCACCTATTGGGGACTGCAATATATAAATATCTACAGAAAAAAGTGGAAGGATATCTATTCCTATTTTTCATTTCTCTGGACTATCTATCTATCTATCTGAAAGGCCTCTAATAGTTTCAGAAGGACAGAGACAAAAGTGTATTAAATGTATTCAGGGGCAATTTCAAGAATAAGAGCCTCATGCAGTTTGCTCTAGGAGTGGACAAGCCTTAGGTATAATAACTAGAAAAAAATTTTATTGGGGTCTTATGGTATACATTAATATTTAACATGCATTTAATCACTTAATGAGCAGCCAATATGTGTCACTATTGAATGTACCATAAACATTGGAAAGCTAAATAAGATGACTAATCTCCCCCCCGCCCCCCCCCCGATTTCTCAGTCCTGGGTGTGTGTGTGTGTGTGTGTGAGTGTGTGGGTGTGAGTGTGTGAGACTGTGTGTGTGTGTGTGTGTGTGTGTGTGTGTGAGGGGTGGGTGTGTGATGGGTGTGTGAGTGTGTGTGTGTTTATAGTGTTGTGACCACAGATGGGCTAGTTTCTCTGCCTTTGTACGAGATGGCTTAACTAAAATACAAGCATTTAGCCCTTAAATTCAGGATCATATGACTATCACTGTTTTAAACTAAATAATTCTGAACAAGAACAATAATCTCACTTTTATATATTAACTTGGGGAGATGTACAGGTAAGAGGTCAATGGAGAAACGTGGTTTTGATGACAGAAGCTCTAAAGCAAATCTGTTTTGGGTTCCTTGATTCCTCACAGAGAGTGATTTAATATCTCTGAGTCAAAATGGGGGTGCTTTCCCTAAACACTTGTAGCTGTTCTTCCTCACCTCTAGTTTCACTAACTGGGACAAAAAAAAGAAATTCCTTTTTTTTAAATTGTACAAAAGCTCTGGGCTATCGCTAAGCCGCGGGGTGGCTCTGTGGAGCAGTGTTCCCTAGGAGCAGCTCCCCGCGGTGTCTGCAGGGACTGAGCCATCGGGATGGGCACCCCCGCCACGGAAGTAACGATACCAACCTGGAAAACTCCAAGGGGCTTTAGAAGCTGACGTGTTCCTCAGGACCTAAAAAAAAACAAAATAAAACACTTTTGGTCTTTCATGAGAGAATATTGATTTTCATTAATTTATCCAGCATATAGGAGGAAGCCTTTTCTAAAACTATCCATCAGCCAGTCTGAACAACCTCTGTTATTCAGTAAACATTATTTTCACGTCTCAGCAGGGATTTGGGAAAACAAAATGGACTAGAAAAAATGCACGAAAATACAAAAAAAAAACCCAATAATGGGGGTGTTATTAAACTTTAAAAGTGTTTCTGATATAAAAATCTATTTAAAGGTATTATGAAAGTATAATAATACGAATCATTTCTTTCAACATTCTTCATTCCCCAGTTTTCACAGTAATAGAATTAAAAGCAAATGTTTGCTAGCCTGTAAAAACAAGTGAATGAAGCAGAAAATTAAGTTAAACTAATTAATTGGCATTAAGTATCCAAAAGAAATGTCCGCTGCTATTTGGTGTGTGTATTTACGTGTACAAAACCCCCACTGTTGCTATGGATTTTACTTTGAAAGGCAATCTGACATAGAGGCGTGACAGGGGCAAGGCTTGAAAGTCATCTCACTCACTTTATTCCCCGTTTTCTCCTACTTTCCAATTTTTTATCAATTATGGCACAATTGCTCTGAAAAATATATATTAGATGAATGTTGGCCTTACGTTATGCTTATGATACTTGAAATAAACCTTATAAATTAAAAAATGTTTCTGCATATAAATGATCTAAATGGATAATTTGAAAATGATTTTTTTTAAGATTTTTTATTGGGGAATTGGGGGAGGGGAACAGTGCTGGGGAATTGGGGAAGGGGAACAGACAAGTTTCTGTCCTTTTGTTCTTCAGTCTAGTTGTGGAGGATGTTGCTTCACTGGCCCATGTTGGTATTGTCATTGCGCTCTTCCCAGGTGAGGCAGATTGGTCACCAGCCTCTGGATGGCCGCTCACAGCAGCTCTTGGCAGCTCACACCAACTTCCGGCTGCTCACGCTGGCTGCCAGCCGCTCACGCTGGCTGCCGGCCACACACAGTAGCTTACGGCAACCCACTGCAGCAGGGGCTGCAGCCTGCACCATCACCAGCGACTCATGGCAGCCCAGCTCCAGGTCGAGCTGTTGTTCACCATCTTAGCTGTAGAGGGTGCAGCATCACTGGCCCTCATGTGGGATCCAAACCGGGGCCCTGCTGCTCAGAGCTGGCGTCCCAAGCCAGCTCTTAAGCAATGTGCCACTTGGCCGGCCCTTGAAAATTATTTCTTTTTTTGTAGATAACCACTTGATAATTGTCAAGAGTCAATACTCTGTGACCAAATTACTTAGCGCATTTTGTGCCTTGTAATTATTTTCTTCTATAATGAGAGTAATTGATGCATAGATGAGCGAGAATCTTTTCGAGCTTATAAACAACCCAGCTTTGTTTGTTAATTACTGAGCCAACTCCAGGTGTGATCCAACAGATGCTGGGGTTTGCGAGACGCCGGGCCAGTTTTCCTGTAACGATACATCGTCCCCCACTGATCTACTGCTATTCTTTCTGCCCCCCCCACCGAGGGTATGTAACTGTCACAGGTGGGTATTTCTTAATAGTAAACTACGAATGTGGTCCATGACTTCATCCTGTTAACACTTAGAAAGCAAGGAATGACTTAGTCATCGAGGACCTTCTAAATTCAGGAGTTAATGTGGGTTTCATTTCTCAGTTGAAGAAACACATCTGAAAGAAACAGCAAACCTGGGCTTGAAGGCATGAGGGGGTTGATTTTTAGGAGCAAAACAAAGGGTGTTGCAGTAATTAACGGGCCTTGGTAGGCCAGGGGAATGAAGGGGGGCTCTGTAACTTCTTCCAGCTGGATCGGAGCTTCAGGAAACCAGAAGGAAAGTGGAGCACAGGGAATAGGACCAGGACTGGCCCGTAAAGGAGGTGGTGGGGGCCCAGGGAAGTAAGATGGACGGACGGACATCGTCTTTGCACCATCATCGTCCATTTTATTTCCTCTGCAGAAGTCAACATGGCCCTTGCTTGTCTTAGGGTATCAGAAACTTAGATTCCTAAGTAACAAGGACTGAAAACTGGCATTGTTAGGAGCAGATTTCTCCATCACCAATACATTTAAGGAATAGTTACCAATATATCTGTCCCACTTGAAAGTGAATTCTTACCAAAATGATGGCCAACTCTTCTGAATTTGTTTTTATTACAGTACTTAAATCCCTATACCTCTGAATTTATTTCCTGTTATTTAGAGTTTAATTATTCTACATTTAGCTCTTTTGTGGTAAACATCAAAAGTATTTAATATTTCATTCATAACTGACTGGTTAGCTCAGTTGGTTAGAGCATGGTGCTGATAATATTTCATTCATGCCTTAATCCCCCAAACACACACATCTGTTTTAGCTGCTACTTGGCAAAAAACACTGGGGATTGCTCACCATAATTTATGTGCTTGTAATGTAACCCTTAGTCAGTTGTAAGTTGGTACCATTTCTCCCTCCAGACTGAGAGCTCCTTGGGCAGAAAAACCACTCATATCATAACTGGAGGCTGTGAAAGGACCCTGGGAATAGATGTGGAATGAATAATTTCCAGGTCAGGTGACTAAAGAGTTTCCTGGTTAATATTAAATAACACACACTCCCTTGGCCTGACTCAGACCTGGCTTGACTGGGTACCATGAAGGTCACGCAGATGCTGCCAGCAACATCGCTTTCCATCGCCACTGAGACGCCTTGTAATCGGCACGTGCACTTTTACTTTTGAGATTTTCCTTTTCTTTTATAATGGAGGATAATTTCCGTTATATGACGTAAACAGTTCTCTTTTTTTTCTGTCTACCTACCTAGCCAAACTATTGGTTCTGATTCTCTGGAGACTCCTAATACACTGTGATATATAGTTAATATATAGCATTGTTCTGTGTATCTTAAAAATATAAATGTAAATATCATGTTATTGTAGCTTGTATCTGGGAACTGCCTGTTTTTACACAACAACATGCTTTGAAATCTTGCATGTTCACTGTGAACAGTTTTTATAAAAAGGCATTTTCTTCTCCCTGAGCCAGAATTTCCAATCTTAAAGTAAAATTTTATCAGTGCTAAAGCTGAGGATTTTCACATATTTTCTGGTGTTTGTGTTCTGGTGGACATGCGTTTTTAAACCACTTAATGAATCAACCAATTGTGAAATACTATTAAAATGTAGTATATTTTAAAGTGGAGCATTACATTTATCATGCAGACTAAGATAGGAGAATTAAGGCTGAACAGAATGGATTAGCAAAATTGTGAAGGAAACAAGCTATTCAGCATTTTTGATTAATGGTGTATTCAATTTCAGCAAAACTGCAAGACTTTGATTAGATCCTCCGTGTTTCTTAATATTACTGAGGACTAAGTCTCCACAAGTCATCATAAACATGGTGACATTCCTAGAAAGAGTCACTATCTCACAGATGTATAATGGCACAAAGTGCTATGACAGGCTGAAAAACTTGATACGACCATTTTTCCCTCTCTATTAAATATAAATATTCAAGTCTGGATCTGTTCAGATACAGGTAAAATATTTTTTTCTTTTAATACTTATAAATTACATTGTCTTGGTAAACAGACTTATAAAAGTTTTACAATAACAGAATGAAACTTGTTTATCATTTTTTCTTAGTTTAATAAGGACTCAACTCCATTAATCAATGATAAACTATACACATAATTTCTTCGATATGATGGTAGTGATTATTTCCCTGTTTTACAAGTTGAAAAGAGATGCGATCCATTTAAAAATGACTGAATTCCAAAAAGTTAGCGTGGACACGGAAAACAAAAGCAAACAAAAAAACTGATGTGTTTCTTTCTAAAATGAAGAGCACTATATAGCATCATGCATTTGTTATCCGTGGTCTGTGAGGCATCAGGACAAGCTCAGGGCTTAATGCGACACACAGTTACCATCACACAGATCCTAAGAATCAGGAACCCAGGCTCTGCTTCATTTGATCACAGCTCAGGGGCTGCAATCAAGGTGCCAGCTCGGCCCTGGGTCTCACGTGCAGGCTGACTGTGGGAGAATTCAACGCCAAGCTCCTCACAAGGCCGCGGCCAGGACTGAGTTGTTTGGGGGCTGCTAAAATGAGGGTCTCATTTTCCAGCTGGCTGCTGGACAGTGGTCGCCCAGACGTCCCGGCCACATGGGCCTCACCTACATGGCAACTTGCCTCGTCAAACCAGCAAGGGAAAGAGTGAAGGGAATCTGCTAGTTAGTTGCACATCCCTCTCAGCCTCATTACAGAAGTGGCATGTTTACCATATTCTATCACTGAGCACCAGCTCATGGGGCCACCCCACATTCAGGGCAGGGGGTTATAAAAGGACCTGGGTATCAGAAGACAGAGGTCATCCATCACTGAAGGCCCCACAGAGTCTGTGCAGGACAGAGATTAACTGCAAGAGAATCCTGTTGCAGGGAAAAAAAAAGCATTTTCAGTACTAGAAGTGTGTGTGTGTGTGTGTGTATGTGTGTGTGTGTGTGTATGTGTGTGTGTGTGTATGTGTGTGTGTGTTTGTGTGTGTGTGTGGTGTGTGTGTGTTTCTGTGTGTGTTTCCCTGTGTGTGTGTTTGTGTGTCTTTGTGTGTGTGTAAGTGTGTGTGTGTGTGTGTGTGTGAGTGTGTATGGCTAAATGACAGTGCTCAATTTTGATTTGTTTTAATATTTGGAAGCTATAAAGGAAGCTGTGTTGCAAGATAATTTTTTTCTTACAAGCAGTTTGGTTCTTTTTCAAATTTGATTATGCAAAGTCTATTCTTCATAGATGATACAGTGCTATGTTATAATGAACAGGAATGCATTTTGAAAATGTAGTCGAAGAAATAATAAGGGCGATCATGCATGAGCCTTTTAAAAACACAGGTTCCCACACTGCCAACAGGGGCATTGTGTGATGGGAACGGATATCTAAACGGTAATGCCAGCCCGATTCTGATCTATTGCTGAACTAAGCTAAC